CTTGTCATGTTATTCTCCTGGTGTTGGTTCTTTTTTCCCTCCAATTTTTTGTCTTCCCTGGTGTATTCCTTCTTTTGAGGTTTCATAGAGTTGTAGTCCTTATTATCTCTTTCTATAATGCCCTTCAGAACATTCTGGAGTGCTGTTCTGGTGGTCATAAATTTCCTTAGATGTTCTTGGTCATCAAAGTATTTTAATTCTCCATCACTTTTGTAAGATAGTTTTGCAGGGTACATCAATCTGGGTTGAAAGTTGTTTTCCTTTAGAACTTGGGAGTACTTCATGCCAAGCTCTCCTTGATTTGAGTTTGTGCTGAGAAGTCAGCTGTGATTCTGATGGGCTTTCCTTTATAGGTGATTTGTTTCTTTTCTCTAAAAGCTTTTCAGATTTTATTCTTGCGTTTGAATTTCTGGAATCTTGACTATGCTATGCCCTGCCGTACATTTTTTTAACCATGGCTGTCGGAGTTCTATCTGCCTCGCTTACCTAATGTCAAATTCTCTTTCTCTACCAGGAAAGTTTTCTGCCATGGTGTCAGTGAACACTTTTTTAAACATCATTTGTAGTATCTTCTGCTTTTTCATTGACTCCAGTCACTCTTAAGTTCTTCTTTGTCTTACCTAGCAGCTTCTGGGTTGATTTCTCATGGGGTCCCGTTATTTTTTGAGAAATCTTTCTTTTGTTGGTCACTAACTACAAGCCTGTCTTCAATATCTATCCTGATATTAGATCCTGACCTCACATGGGCCTAGTCTGCATTGAGTACTTTCCAATGGAGTTTTTGTCCTCCTGGATATCTGCTTGAATCTACTTTATGGATTCCATTTTTTCCCTATTCTGAGCTTCCTCAATTTCCTTAAGCTTATCTATTTTTTTTTCTGTATCTGTTCTAACGATGATAAGATGGTGTATTTTGGTAATCTCTGTAGTTAACTGAGAGATTATTTCTGATTTCATTTTTTTCCAGAGCCTGATTCAATTGCTTTGCAGTTACTACTTCATAGAGGTAAGGTGGGGTCTCTCAGACTGTCCCACCTCATTGGCCCCTGGATTTGCCTTTGGTCAACTGAATATCTGGGCATGTATTTTGCTTAAGTATCTTCTCATTTTCTTTTTTTCCCTTTTTGTAGTTTAATTCCTGGAGGTGATGCTTGTATATTGCTTATGGTAGGGTTTTTTAATTGCTAGTATTTAGGACCCTTTAGTGATGACTACTTCTCTGAGGTATCTTCCAGGTTTAGCTTGTTTTTGGCTTTTGAGTCTGTTGAAAGATCTTACCTCTTTAGTTTTTTGGAGATAAGAAGTTGTTGCTTGTTTGGTCTAGTCCCTGGTTCTCTGCCACAGTATTTTCTGTGACCTGTAGTCAGTCTCAGTCATGGAATACCAGGACCAACAGTTGTTTAGAACAATTATGGCAATTTTGGCTATAATAATACCAATAGCATCAAACAGCATAGAAAATGACAAGCAGGGACTGGGGATTTAGCTCAGCGGCATAAGCACCTGCCTTGCAACCAGGCAGTCGTGAGTTCGATCCCCGGTACCGATAAAAAGGAAAAAGACAAAAAAAAGAAAAAAGAAAATGACAAGCAGATCTAACCATTAATTTGCCACTTTTAACCATATGAACTAGATTTGTGATTATATAACAAATGTAAAAAAAACAATAAATTATATGCAGTATATAAATCCTTCATGTGTCAATTTTGCCCTCAGGGGTTAAAATTTAAAATGGATTTAGGAGAAAATAGAGAAGTAGAAGAAGAGGAAGAGGTTAGAAGTAAGGTTGGAGAACAAAGGGGGATCATGCCAACTTTGGTAAATCTGTGCAGAAGAAATCCAGCAGTAGCTTTTTGGTAGGGTAGTGGGTAATCGCAGCAGGTTTGCCCCAAAGCTAGACACCTTGGGCTCGCTGTTGCCTGACCAATTTCCATGGGTCTGAGCCCAGCTGGGAGCTGCTAGATGGAGACAGAAGCTGTTCTGGATCCTGGGCTCAGGCAGCTCACTCTCTCCTGCAGGAGGACCAAGTCCTCTGCGCTCACCGCCAGTCAGTGCAGTCCTCCACACCCTCTGCTATCCTGCTGCATCTCTGCAGAGGCCTGTGGGGTTGCCAGTGTCACTGTCACGGTCACGTGCATCGCAGGTTTGAGCTCCTCTTGTGCAGTGAGTCTCATCTCGGGGAGAAGGCACGGCCGGCTACCGCATTCTTCTTCGTTGAAGTTTTTCTCTTCACTCTGTGGCTTCAGTTCGCACTGCGGATTCTTCTGTTTCCAGTGGACCCACCTCCCTCCTTCTTGTCTTCCCCACGAAGCCTTCCAGCATCTGGATGGTGATGCTCAGAGAGGCTGTTTTCTCTGCTGAGTACAATCCTGGGTTGGCTTTTAATCCTAGTGACCAGTGTGATGAGAGCTCTTGCAGTCAGATGGCCGTCACATCCCTACGGAGTCTTTCAAGCTGCATCGTCCATCAACATTGCTCCCTACTCCCCTGTACTGGGGGTGAACCCAGGACTGCCCTATCACTGAGCTGCATCCCCAGCCCTTTTAATTTGTAGAAGCAGGGGTTAACTAGGTTGCCCAGGTGACCCTGAATTTGTGATTTTCTGGCCTCAGTCCCCCAGGTAGCCGGGATCACGGGTGTGCATCACTATGCCTGGCATTTTTCCTGCTTTTTCAAGTCAAACATGAGGCCTGATTTGCAAATACTGGGCATGGCAGCTAAGCAGATGTCTACACCCACAGAGCAAAGGAATCTGCTTTTCTTTTTTTTTTTTTTTCTTCCTTTTTTGTGTTTTTCAAGAAAGGGTCTTGCTATGTAATCCAGGCTAGCTTTAAACTAGTGATCCTCCTGCCTCAGTCTCCTGAGGGCTGGGTTTACAAGCACGTGCCACCACGACTGGCTTCTGAACTGGTTTTCTTCCTGCCAACATGAATTAAATGGGCCTGGACAAGCTCCTGTGAAGACCCCATGATGTCCCACACTCAGGACCATTGGAAGGGGATGCCCCACATACGAGGTGGTTTGTGCTAATGCCTGTGACATGAACACAGAAGTCTGGACTGCCTCTATCAGGTGACAAAGCCATCTCACACATCTTTTATCAGATACTCTGCAGCCTGTTCTGGGTTAGGCTGGAAGCAGCACATGGGGATGTGCAATGTCAACATGGCTGGTGACAAAGGTCATGCAAACTCCTAAACTAGGGAATCAGATTCCACTCAACCATAAACACTGGGTTGTTTTTTGTTTGTTTTGCCTCACATTTGCCATTCTCCTGCCTCAGCCTCCCACGTGCTGGGATGACAGGTGTGAGCTGCCATGTTCAGCTTACTTTTTTCAATATAAGTGCAGATTTAATCTAAAAATTATCAATGTGGATCTTGACACCCATCACCACCCATCCTGCTTTTGATGCAGACTGGACTGCTTCATTCATAAATTCAAGCTACACAAAGGAACAAATAAAAGGACACTGAAAATCTACTTGCAGGTCAGCACCCCAAGGAGAATCTTACTTTCACATCTCAGAATTTGGGATCTGGAAAAGGCAACTGTAAATCCACAGTACCGTAACAAAAGGTTAGTAACACTAGGCAAACACTGCACTGCTCCAACCAGAAGTTAATAGTTTACCCTCTGGCCAGGGGTTTAGCTCAATGGTGTAAGTGCCTGCCTGGCAAGTCTACCTTCCACTGTGCCCATGCCTGGGGCGCCCTCACTGCCCAGCCAGGGCCAGACTGTGTTCACTGATGAAAATGCTCCCCTGGCTGGGTGTGATCCCAGCAGATCAGGAGCTAAGGTAGGAGGATCGTCCCAAAATCAAGGCCAGCCTGGGCTACACAGCGGGTCAGGAGAGCATTAGCAACCTCTGTGTCACCTGGGCTTCTCAACGAACTGTGTGATTCCCCATCTGCAGCATCCCTTCCACAACCTTTCAAGGTTAAATCCTTTTTTTTTTTTTTTTTTTTGAATCAGGGTCTCGTTATGCAGCTGGCAACACACCCAGCACCAAGCTTAAATCTGAGGATGGCAGCATGAACCCATGCCCATTATTCATTTCACACCCCAGAGGCTGTGCTAGCCAGGACCTTGCTCTCTGCCTCTGCTGTTTTGTGCCCGGTGGAATGAATGAATGAATCAGTGCCATTGTGGCATGCTGGGGCCGCCCCACCTGCGTTCACAGGGATGCACCAGCTCACTGGGTGCCCCTGGCACCTCAGGCACGGCTCCTGCAGGGGCAGAGCTCTAGGCAGGGGCCTCTGCTTCTCCCCTAACAAAGGCCCTGGTCTCCACTCTACTGTTTCTGGGCCTGACCCCTCCTTACAGAAGATGTGGCTTGGCCTGTCTGCGCTTTGTTTTCCTGGTCGTGGGGGTGATGATGGAAGCAGGGCCTGTCCCACGGGAGGGAGGCAAGAGTCACACTAGAGTCACTATGTCTGCTTCTCCTCAGAGCCAACCACACAGCAGACGATGAAGGCTCCGCCCCTTCCCCAGAGCCGCAGGTGTGCGGGCTCCGCCGACTGCTTGCCCCCCAACACCTAGGCCCTAACCCGACTTCCAGGCCACCTTTCTCTGCCCCACAGGTGCCACTTCCCCGGCAGCCGCCCTCCAGCGGGGAAGCAGAAGTCACTATCCTCTGCCCAAAGGCCCAAGTGGGAAAGGTTTGACTTGTTCGCACATTTGCAGGACCTAACATCATATTCATGGTGTGTGGCTGGCACGTATAGGTCACACAGCTCAGGTTTGTTTTTGGTTTTCCATTTTTGAGGCAGGGTCTCACTATGCAGTTCAGGCTGGTCTTGAACTCACTTTGTAGCCCAGGCCAGTCTTAAACTCAGCAATTCTCCCGCCTCAGCCCCACGAATGCTGGGATTACAAGCATGCACCACATGCCAGGCCTGTGTTATTTTCTTAATCCCCTTTTCCCTGCCCGCCACTTCCCTCCCTCTCTTGATCCTTTATGGCTGTGTCAAACAGAAACATTAAAATGACACCCAGGATTTGAAGGCAGGTTTATTTACATTGATGGAACTGGCTGAGATCATTTCCAAGATATCAGGCCCTGATCTCTGGTGGTCTAGGGCTTTTATACGATGCATGAGCAGGAGGGACAAAGGCAAGCCAGAAGGACCTGGCAGTTCTGATGAGACAGCAGGGTGAGACCATCAGTTACAGGGCTAGACTAACGGTCACGCAGCTTGGTACAGTCAGGCATCCTGCATGTTTGGTTATGCTCTCGTGGTTACAGGGGTCAAGAAAGTAATTACAAAGCCATGAAGCAGTTACAGTGCTAGTCAGTTTCAAAAGAACAATTTCCCTGGTATGGTTTTTCTTTCATTACCATTTGAAAAAGATCATACTACTTCTTACCCTTTATTTTGCTTATTAGTATTTTGGGTTTCTCATATAAAAATGCAATTATTTGTCTGATTTATTTCACTTAATAGTAGGGTCTTAAGGTGCATCCATTTTCCTACATGCTTATCCTTCTTTATGGCAGAGTAATACTCCCTCATGCACAAATACCATACTCTCTACGCATTCATCTCTTGATGGGTTGCTGTCAAGGTTTAGCTATTATGAATTTCAGTGCTATAGACCTGGATACACGTGTATCACTGTAATATAATGTCTGTAACTTTTGGGAAGATCCCTAGAAGGGGAATAGTAGGGCCAAATGCAATTCCTAATTTTAATCTTTTTTTTTCTCTCTTGGAGGAATCTCCACAGTCATTTCCATAGGGGCTGTAACTCATTTGCAACAACAATGTAGAAGGGTTCCTTCTCCCTCCACCCCACAGCCTCAACAGCATCTGTTACTTGATTTTTTTGTTGTTGTTACCTGGGACTGAACTCATGACCTCGTGCTTGCCAGGCAAGCATTTGTGCTGCTGAGCTAAATCCCAAGCCCATGTTATTTGATTCCTTGATGATGGCTATTCTTTCTGGAGTAAAAAGGAAATCGCCATGTTGTTTTAATTTGTATTTTTCTCATGAGATAGTGAACATTTTTTCCTGTATTTATGGGCCATTTTTACTTCTGAGCAGTGTCCATTTATTGTGGCCACACATCTTTATTTTATTTTATTTTTGGTCTTTTTCATTTTTATCGGTACCAGGGATCGAACTCACGACTGCCTGCTTGCAAGGCAGGTGCTTATGCCGCTGAGCTAAATCCCCAGCCCCCTGCCACACATCTTTAATTGGATCTTTTATTGGGACGGGGAGCTAATTTTGAGTTTTTATACATCTGGCTATTAGTCCTCTGTTGGAGGAATAGCTGGCAAAATTTTTCCCATTCTGTAGGTTGTCTCTTTTGCTATGCAGCTTTTAGTCTGTTATGATCCCTTTTGTTGATTCTTGGTACTATTTCTTGTGCTACAGGACTTCTGTTCAGAACTCACCTATGGTTATGTCTTCAAGAGTTTTACAAATTTTACCTACTAGCTGATTAAGTGCATCTGTTTTAACATTAGATCTGCTGCCTCTCGTTGCTTTTGCTCTTCTGGCACCAGGAACTGTTGCCCTCTGTCATGTGCCACCCTGCCTTGGAGCCAGCTGATGATGGACAAAAACCTCTCCAAACTGTAAGCTAAATAAAATTTTCCACCTTTGACTTTGGGGGTCAGGTATTTTGTCCCAGCAGCAAGTATGACAGAATTTGGTACCAGAGAAGTGGGGTCGTTGCTGTGACTCTACCTGACCACGTTTCAGGAGCCTCTGAGATTGGCTTATGGGAAAAGTTTGGGAAGGTTTGGAGATGCCAGCTGAAAAAGCATAGCTGGAACACCTGAGGCTGTTCTGAATGGTGGATTCTGGTCAGAAAACCAGAAAGCTGATAAAGATCAGGCTCAGTTTTCTGCTTGGAAGGTGGACAGCACTGCTGTTGGACTCCAGGTGATGAGTTTTATGACTTGGCCAAAGGTTTATCTACATTTTGCTCATGGTCAGAAACTTTGCCTGAGGCTGAGCTTAAGGGCGGAGGACTAATCTTGCAGAAAACATTTCAAGGCAGTTGAAAGCTGAGGTGATGGCATGGCTACTGTTGGGGACCTTTAACCAGATTTATGTTGAGAATTGGGCTGGGGATTTAGCTCAGCAGCATAAGCACCTGCCTTGCAAGCAGGCGGTTGTGAGTTCGATCCCCGGTACCGATTAAAAAAAAAAAAAAAAGAAACAGATTTATGTTGAGAATCAAGAACAGAGTCCAGCAAGGGGGGAAAAAAAAAAAAAAGCCCAGCAGAATGATTTAAAACATTGTGAGTTTGGCCCAAAAGGAAGCTCCAGTAAAGCTGTGGACTGCAAAGATACGGCAGAGATCTTGATTGCTGAAGGACAGAATAGAAAAGATGGATCTGGGGCCCAGGGATTTAGCTCAGTGGCGTAAGAGCCTGCCTTGCAAGCGTTTGGTCGTGAGTTCAATCCCCAGTACCAAAAAAAAAAAAAAAAAAAAAAAAAAGATGGATCTGAAAGCATCACAAGCAGCAGTAGGACTCTACTTTGCAGTGTCAAAATTGCTTAAGTGACTTGCTTTGACAAGAAAGCCACAGAATAGCATGTTCTAGAATGGCAGAGGAGCCGGGGATTTAGCTCAACGGCATAAGCGCCTGCCTTGTGAGCCCGCAGAAGTGAGTTTGATCCATGGTACAAAAAAAAAAAAAAAAAAAAATGGCAGAGGCCTGGAGAATTTGTTCCTTGGAATTTCGATTCAGAGTGCTTAATCATCCAGGCGCTCCACAGCTACAGGCCAATTGAAAAGGAAGCCTGGGTACTGCTCCAGCTGGCAACAGACCTTGGTATCATCCACATGGTGCTGTTTTTAGGTGCATGAAGAATGCAAGAGTTGTGGGGTCAGGAAGGCCTCTACCAGATTTCAAAAGAAGGCCTCGGAGGCCAAGCAGTGGGCCCAAGAGGGCAGCATGTGAAGCTCTGAAGGGAAGCCAAAGTTGCAGGAGACACCCCAGAAGTTTAAAGGAGCCAGGAAGGTGAGTCACCTGAGAAAACACTGGAAAGAGAGCAGAACAGGCACAAGACAAAAGCCACGGGAGCTACAACCATCTGAAATGTCACACGGTGGAGCTTTGGAGTTCTTGTCTTGCCACGGCTGCTGCACATGGAACGGCACATGGAACATTTATCTTGCTGGATTTTGGACTTGCTTTGGTCCCATTCCTTTGTGTCCCTGTCAGTGCCTTTCGGAATGGTAATACTGATCTTGTGCCATTGCATGCTGGGAGTGTTTAACTTTCTCTTCATTTGTACCGGGGCTCAAAGCTAAGAGTTTGCCTTCAGTCTCAGAAAAGACTTTTGATTGGACTTTTCAGCAATGCTGACTGTTAGCACTTAGGCAACTTTTGGAGATGGACTAATTTTGGGTCAACCTGTATTTAAATAATTATACTGGTAAGTGGCTAAGTACTTTTGTTCAAAGGCTTGTTTCAACTCTGATTTTTTTGTCTAGTTGATCCACTGGTGACACTGTGGTTATTAAGATCACCCACTATAATTGTATTGATGTTCATCTGATCTTTTATGAATACTTTTAAGATTCTGTTCTTGTGTTAGGACTTCTGAGATTTTGACTGATGTGGAGAGGTTCTTTTTTAACCATGGCTATTTAGGATACTATATGCCTCAATTATCTGCATGTTATATTCCCACATTTGGAAAATTTTCTACTTTTTTTTTTTTTTTTTTGAGACATGGTCATAACATGTAGTGCAGGCTGGCCTTAAAACTCAACTTAGGTAGCCTAGGCTGGTGCACCAATCCTGTCTCAGCCTCCCAAGTGCCGGGATTACAGGTGTGTCCCCCCCACACACACACCCACCTTCTACTGTTTTTTCTGAAAGTTTTTTTGAATGCTGTCTGTGCTAATTTTTCACTAGTTCCAACTAATATTATTTTGTATCATCTAGCAGATGTTGAATCCATTGTTCATGCTCTCATTTTGAGGTATCTTTTGTTAATTGGGCACAAACAACACCCATCTCCTAATTCTGAGTCTCTATCCTCACATTTGTCACTTCTGCTCATACTTTTTCCCCTAGCAATTTGAGAAGGTTTATTTACTGGAAAGAGGGATTTGGAACTTTTCTTCAAGATCATTTCTCTTTCATAAATTAGATACACAATGATAACTAATCTTCTTTGTTCTAGGGCAAATAAAATCTATCTAACCTTTTCTATGCTGGACATTCATGTTTCACGTCACTGGGTTTAGCTCGGCTAGTTTCGTATTAGTGTCTTCTGTAGACTCCCTTCTCACTTCCTTTATCAGGGTCTGTTGGGAGCCGCGGCCGAGCCCGGTCGCCTTACTTGGCGGACGTGAGGCCTGTAGGAAAGAGCAAAGCCTGAGCTAGATTACCCCTCCCATCGAGTGTGCTAAGATGGCGCTTATTTCCTGCTTGGTAAACAACCCGCCCTGTAAGATCTCCTGCTTCCTGCTTGGTAAACAACCCGCCCTGTAAGATCTCCTGCTTCCTGCTTGGTAAACAACCCGCCCTGTAAGATCTCCTGCTTCCTGCTTGGTAAACAACCCGCCCTGTAAGATCTCCTGCTTCACAACCCGCCCTGTAAGATAGTCTGCCTAGCAACAACTGATGTTAGCCAATCAGCCCGCATCGCGCGCTTTGAACTGGTTGGCCACTGTAACCCTATAAAAGTGAGTGCCTCTCCCGCCAAGAAAAGAAAAAGAAGCAAAAGAAGCAGAAGAAGCACGCAAGGAGCCGCGGAGAGCGGACCGGTAGAGGCTTCGGGACAGACTGTAGGGAGAAGCACGCAAGGAGCCGCGGGGAGCGGACCAACAGAGGCTTCGGCCGGGAGGATTCCCGGGGCAGGCTGTACGGAGAAGGAAAATAAAAGAAAAGGTTGTCCACTGCCAGACTTTGTTGTGTGTCCTTCCTGCCGGCCGGGAGTGACACCGACAAGGGTCACTATCCTTTAAAAGGTTACACCTTTGAAATGGACAAGCACCTGAGTAATCAGTTTCTTAATCTCTTCTTCTACCCTTACAAATAAATACGGCTGTGTGGTTTTTGAATTCTTCCCCCTGGATGTGCCATGATCAGCTTTGGGGGAGCTGGCAGTTTTTGGAGACACTCTGTCACCTTGTCTTTTCATATTTGTATTTTTTGTTTGTTTTCTGTGCTGAATACTGACGGTTGATTATAGTGAAAGACTTCGTTGCTAGTATGGAAACCTCTTTAATTAGTGTCTATTTTCCAGTAATGCATTCTGGGTATGGTTAACTATAGGCTTTTGCTTCTGTTCCGGAATTCCTCCACCTGTGTTTACTGGTGGGTTTATGTGGTTTATTTGGCTCAGTACCCAGCTTGCCAGGAAAGGCAATCCAGAGACTGGCATACGGAGAAAACCAGCAGACAGCAACTATGTCACCTTAGCTATAGTAATAAAATCACGAACGATAACAGCATCAAAGACAAACTGGAGATTGACATACCCTGAGAACCAACAGTGTGTATCACTCTTAACCATAGAAAAGAGATCTTTGATTACAATATAAACCTTAAGATAAACCAAATATTGACCCATAGTAAATATCTGCTAAATGGAACTTTACCTCCACTAGCAACAGAACAGTATTCAACAATAATGACATATGACTACCTTTTTTTTTAAGACTTTTTTTTTTTATCAGTACCAGGGATCGAACTCACCACTGCCTGCTTGCAAGGCAGGTGCTTATGCTGCTAAGCTAAATCCCCAGCCCCTACATATGACTACCTTAAGATTCATAAAGTAATAAGGATTCATATAGTAATAAAGACAGAGGGTGTGGTTTTCAGGCACAGTGGCACATGCCTATAATCCCACCACTCAGGAGGCTGAGGCAGGAGGGTCACTGAGAGTCCAAAGTCAGCCTGAGCAACATAGAGACCCTATCCCAAAGAAAAAAACAAAACAAAATGAGGATATGGAGTACAGGAATATGGAAAAACTAAATTTTGTTTTGTTTTGTTTTGTCTTTTTGAGACAGGGTCTCTCTATGTAGTTCAGGCTGGCCTTGAGCTCACTTTGTAGCCCAGGCTGGTCTCGAACTCGCAACGATCCTCCTGCCTCAGCCTCCCAAATGCTGGGATTACAGATGTGAGCCACCACACCCAGCAAAAACTAAAATTTTTAAATTTAAGCAATGGAAGATGAGAAGGTGAGAAAAGTGAAATAAAGGATCCCACGGAGGAGTAAAAGGAAATTAACAGTATTTGATAAAAGTGCTAGAAAAAAACAAACAAGAAGGACCAGGGGTTTAGCTCAGCGGCACAAACGCCTGCTTAGCAAACACAAGGTCCTGAGTTCAATCCCTAGTACCAACAACAAAAAAATAAATAAATAAAAAGAACAAACAAGAAAAAGAAAAATCAGAGAGCAAACTACAGGAAAATAATTAAATGGAGACTACAGTGGGGGTCAGGGATTTAGCTCAGCAGTATAAGCACCTGCCTGGCAAGTATAAGGTCATGAGTTCAATCCCTGGTGCCACCAAAAAAAAAAAAAATTGTATCTTATAAATGGAGACTGTAGGCTGGAAGGAGAAAGACGCGCCCTTCCTGTGAGCCAGACTCTGCTCTGGCTGGGAGACAAGGGTCATGCCCCACAACCAGCCATCTCGGAGGAACACAGCTGACACAACTGAGGTAAAAACAACTTAACGTTTATATTGTTGGATGACTCTGCAGGCCTAAAGCCAGTAGTCTTCTATTTAGAGAACAACAATATGCAATACAGCAACTATGGGGGATTTTCTTCTGTCTTGTTTTTGAAATCCAATATTGTCGTTTTGTTTCACTTCATTTTACTGTTTTGTTTGACTCAAAGGTTTTGCTTTGATTGGTTTTATTCTGTTCTGTTTTATGGATTTTATTGTGTCTAATGGTACGGGCAACTATTTTAAAGGTGACAAGAGGCATTATGGTAGCAACAGTTGATTTTCTATTATCCTGTTTTGAGGTCCTGTATCATTTTGGTTGTTTTGTTTTGTTTGGCTTTGTGCTTTATCCAGAGTTACAGTCCTTTCTGCCCAGCCTTGTGGCCTGCAGATCTGAGGCGCCTTCCTGCCTGAGAGACTTCCCCTGCACAGCACCCGAACTATGGAAACTATTCAAGCTAAGGCACATTCCCACTCTCACAGACAAACACGAAACCAATCAGATCACCAGTCTGCACTGGATGTAGGCCACAGGGTGGGGGCTCAAGCAGACCACCTCCTGGACTGTGAGGGCAGGCACTGGCAGAAGTACCACTGCACACAGCAGAGGACGGATACCCAAAAATGTATTGTGAACTAACTGAATACAGATAAATATAGAAGCAAGGCAGAATGAGACTGTGATTTACCATTTATAATTTCATCTTCAATAAGTCAAACAGAGGGGTTTTGGAAAAAAAAAAAAAACCCACTGATTTTCAGACAAATTACTAACCTGTGGTAGGATAGAAGAAAACTGTAATTTTAAAATTGTCCTTTTACTCTTCCCCCCCCCACCCCCAAGACTCAGGGAGGATTGAACTCAAGGCCTTCACAAAAAAAAAAAAAAAAAAAAGAAAAGAAAATTGTCCTTTTAGAAGCCAGGTGTGGTGGCACTGCCTGTAATGCCAGTATTCAAGAGGCTGAGGCAGAAGAATTTCCAAGTCCAAGGCAAGCCTGACCTTCGCAGCCAGACCCCAATAGTACTTTTAAGAAAAACTACAGCTTCTGTGTACAAAAGTTACACAAAGTTACAATGGCCTTTTCCTTTTCTGGCAAAGAAAAAAATCCTAAGGGATGGAGGGGGGGGGTACCAAGGTAACAAAGGTCTTACTATGTGGTACAAGTCGGCCTTGAATTCACTATGCAGCCCAAGCTGGTCCTGAACTCCCAGTGACCTCCTGCCTCAGTCCTCCGAGTGCTGGGATGACAGGCGTGCACCACCAATCCACCAAAAATCCTAAGGATCTTAAAGAGCGGTAAACAGTGTTCCCCCCGTCCCAGGCCTCCATCCTCAAGCAGACAGTGCCAGCCTGTGGACAGCATCACCTTAAATGGCACACACTCTCAAAGGGTTTGCATCTTAACAAAGCCCCAAATGAGGAGCCTGAAAGCAGGCACACACATCCTACATCATGCACCCTGAGAAACCCCAAGACCATATAGGAACCCCAGCCTAGACGATAACCCTCCTCTGAGAGCGCCTCTGTTAAATTTTGCGTAACAAACTTTTCTGTGCTCCTCCCTGGCTTCTCTAATTCTTTTCTGTGACATAAGTCACAAGCTATCCTGGAAGCTGGGTAAGCTCCCAATCTCCTTTCAGACACCTCAGCCCTATCCACTGACAAACCCACCACTACAGAGGTGGAGAAACAAGATCATGTAACCACAACAGGGAGTGTTTTGAGTTTTAATGAGTCTGCCCTAAAGAACTCTCCTCCCTTTCCTCTATTGTGGGGGCTCAGATCTCAGCTTCCAATGCTGAGGTAAAGGGTGAGGAGGCCCTGGGATCAAAAGAGGCAGGTGAGGGGCTGGAGATTTAGCTCCACGGCATAAGCACCTGCCTGGCAAGCACAAGTCATAAATTTAATCCCCAGTACCAACAAAAAAAAAAAGGTGCAAGTGAGAAAAAAAAGGCGCAGGTGAGAAAGTACAGAAAGAGGCTGTAACATAACCCAGCCCTGGCACTGGGTCTGAAGTTTGTCTTTGGGTCCAGGAACCAGCGTGAATGGCAAGTCGCTTCTTTGTAAAGCTGTGCCCTAAGCCTAAAGCATCAGGGTGGGGCAGAACTGGGCCCAGGTACCTGAAGTGGTCACCTGCGGCCTGGGGTCAGGAGTGGCACCACCTCGGCTAGAATTCCTGGTCTGACAGTGATGCTGCCTTGGTCCAAGAGTCTGGAAGAGGGGGACCACCTTGAGTCACCACCACTCTGGGCCTGCGGAAAGAAACAGGATGAGGAAAGCAGCACAAGCAGGGTGGCAAAGAAATGAAGCAAACTCTAACCCTGGGGACCAGCTCGACTCAGGAAAGATGAAAAGGAGGAGCTAAACCTGAGAAGAAGCTAGGAGAAGAATAAGAGCCACATCGCCGGGGAGCAGAAAAGGGACCCAGTGAAAGGGAACAAACTTTCCAAAGAGGTACTAAGGGGTGGGGTATGAACAAGGTTGTAAAGGAGAATGTCAGGGCCCAGGTGCCTGCAGGCAGAAACACTCAGAAAGGCAGGGGGCAAAGGTGGGGGGGGGGGGCTGTGAACCCAGGGTGGAAACAGAAACAGGGCCAGATATTTACCACAGGCTGGACCCGTCAAGAAGCGGCTCAGAACCCAATACCAGTCCCATGAGCATGGTGAGGACAAGAGAAGAAACCACAGCATTATCGAGGTGGGCCGGCTTGATCCCAGGTGACATCAAAATGGAGAGGCAGGAGGTGACAGAAGACACAGAGACAGCCAGGTCCTAGGGAGTCTGATGAGGAAGGAAGGTCTCAGCTAGGCCCGAGGTTCCGGATCTTGCTCGGGCTCAGTCCCGGGCACGCCACGAATATCCGGAAGCAAACGACAGCCAGCCACAATGTCCAGGCGCTCCGCCAGCGCACAAAGGTCCCCTCGCGCCAGGCGCACGCTGTGGGCCGCCGCCAATCCCGCCGCCTGGGCGGCTGCAAGCCTCCCGGCCAGGGCGGCCACATCGCGGCCCGCACGGCGGTACACACCGCTCACAGCCGCCGCCACGTCGTGGTCCAGTCGCGCCTGGCTCTCGGCCAGCCGGAGCTGCAGCAGAGAGCGCGCAGGCGCCGGCGCCGGGACCTCCTCCGTGCCCCAGGTCTCTCCCGCCGACTCCCGCTGCACCACAAGGGGAGGTAGGTCCGTGGGCGCGGCGGTGGGCTCCGGCTCCGTATCCGAGTCGGTCTCCGCGGCCTCCCCTGCAATCCGCAGCCCTGTAGCGCGGCCGCGGGTCGGGCCCGAAGGACCCAAGTACAGCTCCTCCTCCGACGATGAGGACGCAGAAGGCTCCGAGTCCGTCTCGGCCGCCTCCCCCGACACCATCGTCCCTGACCTCCGCGGTGGCCTCCGACGACCCTGAGACGCCATAGCGTGGAGCTAGAAACAAAAGCAGCAAAGGAACGAGTGAGGACGGCGCCCTGGAGAACCAGTTCGCTCAGCGATTTAGGGACCACTGTCCGTGCCTCGGTTTCCTCTTCTGTAAACTGGTTGATGATAGAGGCTACTGGGCCCCAGCCTCTTCAGTGTACAGATGGGGAAACTGAGGATCAGCTCCATCAGGCTGGGGGACCAGTTCCCTGAGTCTCAAACTGTGTTCCTTTCGAATCCGCTTCCAACGGAGGCCGCACCCTCTAGGCATCGCCCTCCGGCCAAGTCTCACCGGGAAGCACTCGGGCTCGTGAGCCGCTCATGGACCACTGCCAACCACAGACAGGACGCCCGTGCAGAGGACTCGGGAGAGCACAATAGCGGGTGGCGAGGGAACGCAATAACCAAAACCCTTACCTGATCTAAGAAGCTCTGGGCTCACGGGATCCGCTGGCGGAAGTGCAGTGAAGACGCCGCATCTCAACCAATAAGAGCTCAGACTGGGCGGGCGTTGGCGAAGTCACGAGGTGTTGCTTTGCTACCAATCAGAAAACAAGTTCTTAACATCAACTGGAAGGCGTGTGCCGTGGAGTCAGGTGACAGAGGCATGGTCAATGGGAAAGCGGCTAGGCTTGCACTTCCGTGTTGTGCTTGGAGGAGTTTGTAGTGCACAACAGGAGGGTTTTAAAAATGAGAATGCCAGGGTGGCGACGTATGCCAGAATTCAGAAAGCAGAGACAGGAGGGTCTCCGTGAGTTCCAGGCCAGGCTACACTACATAGCGAGACCCTGTCTCAAAAAAAAAAATTTAAAAATACGAAAGACGCGTAATGATACAGAGAATGAGAATGCTCGAAGACCCGGAAGTAGGGAAGGCACGGAGATAAGGGCGGAAGATGTTGTCTCGTGCGGCCAATGAGAGGCAGAGTAGATCCTTCCTTTTGTCCGCGAAACACGCGCCCTGGATTTGAGCCCGCGGCAAGGAAGCGGGGCCCACAAAATCACCAATGAAAGCGGGGGTGAGCGGCTCGCGCCTCCAAGAGGCGGGACTTGTTCAGTCAGACCAATGAGAGCCAGAAGCGCTTGGGCAGGAGTTAGGCGATTAGGCTGGTGCATGGCGGATAAGGTGCTGTTCGAGTTTTTGCACACCGAGATGGTGGCGGAGCTGTGGGCTCCGCACCCCGACCCAGGCCCTGGGGTGAGCGCCGGGCTCCGGGGGGCAGGAGGCGCGGGCCGCTGCGGAAGGGCCGGATGGAGGCCCCAGGAGATGTGAAGGATAGGACTACCACTGGGTTCGAACTCTTGGCTCTCACCCCGCCTCTCTGGGTGGCGCTGGCTTTATAAAGTGAGGGTCGCAATGGTACCTTCCTTGCAGGTTATACCTGAAATTGAGCGCGATGACTCAGGTTAAAGCACTGGTTCAAGGCTGGGCAAAGTAAGCGGTTAGTAATTATAGTAATTGCTGGTACTGGGCGTATGCTGAGGATTCGCCTCCAACGCTCACTAATCGGTTTTTTGTTGTTTTTGTTACTAGAGATCGAACCATTGAACCCCAGGACCTTCATACTGAGCTAAATCCTTAGGCTTTTTTTTCTATTTTGAGATGGTCTCACCAAGTTGCCCAGACGACCCTCGAACTCACGACCCTCCTCGACCTCCCAGAGTGCAGGGATTACAGCGTCACCACGCTCTCGGCCTAATCACTTAATTTCCGTGTGCCTCAGTTTCCTCCTTTGCGAGATGCCATTTTAAGCGTACCCAAGTCTTAGAGTGGAAGGGACACTTACTCATCCCACACTTGAGAGATCTTCTGTTGCATTCCAGGCATCTTTCTAAGAAAAATGCTGATCTCTGTGAAGCATGCGTTTTAGTACAGGAGTCAAATAGTAAAACAGGCCCGAAGCTAGTGAGCAGCTCTATAAAGAGGTCACGAAGAGAAGAGGGATCGGTAGGCTGTGATGGGGGCAAATCTCTCTGGGGAAGGAGAAAGGAACTGGCAGGTCCCTGGGTAGCTAGGGGAAAAGCATCACAGGAAGAGGGATAGGAGGAAGCCCTGGTGAAGGAGCATGCTTAGCATTTAGGAAGTTGCTCTTCCTGAATAAATGAACTAAAACTTTGAAGCACTTAGTAAGATGTTAGCAAGTAGCCCATAAAATATGGATGTGGGTGTTAGAAAAATCTGTTACTGAGCTGGTCTTTTGGCACTTTTCAGTGGTAGAGTGCTTTTGTAGCATAAATGAGACCCTGGGTTCCGTCGCCAGCCCTATAGACAAATCTTAACAAGGAAAACAGCTGGGGAGCCTCACAGACTGTCGGTGCATAGTAAGTGGGAGCGTGGTCACCTTTTTGCCTTATTCTTGTGATCATGCTCATTATCATTTTTCTTGGTTCAGGTTTCCCTTCCCAGGTTAGGGCCCCCAGGGTGGGTGTTGCTTGTCTTTTAGAGGCTGTCTTCTGTGCTCATTAATTTACTCAACAAACTTTTTACTAGGACCTGCAAGATACCAGCCTGCTGTAGGCTCAGTGAACCACTCAAAAATCCTGGTCCTGGATGCATGTTATAATGAGGGCAGGTCTTACAAATAACTGAGTAAAGCGTGTGAGCCATTGTGTAACTGCTGTGAGAAAGAGAAAGCTGGCAGGGGGGGCTGGGTGCGTCAGCCTGTGGCCCAGGCAGGACTGTAACTGTCTTGGCACCCCATTCTTCCAGGCATTCAGACACCTCCCCTTCCAGCTAAGGGCTTCCTCTCCTATCAACCAGTGGTTGTCACCTTGACTGACAGGCTAACCAGTGACACTGAGGCTTTCTGGCTGGCCCATTATCAACCCCTTTCCTCCTGAGGAGACCAGGAGGGGCAGTTGTTACATTCTTCTTCTTGCACATGGGGACCCTGAGGTCGGCCACTGCCGCCTGCCTGCTACATTGTGGGTACAGCTATACCTAAACCTAAGCATTCAGGCTGCTGGGCAGCAAGGGGGGAACCTGTATAGCAGAGACCTCCTGTGTCTCTGGTCCTGGATGCATGACCACCGCAGACCATGGTGGGAGTGGGGTGCACCCTCCTAAGGAAACCACCTGCTGTTTGTCTGTTGGCTGTGTGCTACAGAAGCCACAGCAAAACCGGCAGGGGACACAAAGGAGCAGACCAGTGTAGCCAGCAGGAAGCTCTTTTACTGTCACCCAGACAGGCAAGGCCCAGCTGCCCATAGCCATGCTGAGTGGGACACCTGGCTTTGAAACTGCAGCCTCTGCTCAGTGCCCCTGGGAGAGTCCCATCCTTTGCCACTCTGTAAGGTGCCATCCTGCCCACCCATCCAGGCTCTGTATGGCAGCCCCATGACTGAATGGGGCTCTGGGAAGTTTCCCAGGTGTAAATGGAGTGGCTCAAACTTGAAGCTTCCTGCAGATCCCTGCCCGGGCTCAGGTCCTGCAGCAGGACAAGGGAAGGGGCCTGGCTGGGGACCAAAGAGAAGGGCTGCTTCTGGGAAGGCCAGGTGTCCTCCCAGGACTGGATCTAAGCAGAACATTCCTCTCCCCATGCAAATGTCCTCCGGGAACAGGCAGTAGCTGAGGGAGAGGGGCCTGGTGACTGCAGTCTCCCTGAGGAGCCCACAGAAGTACACCCTCCAGGTCCAGGTCCCTCTTCCCTGCCCGCTGCTTCTATGCTTGGGGTTCTGTTTGGGGCTATTCCAGGATTCCTGACACACCAACTGGCCTGTGGTCCCTCTGCTCAGGGTATCCCCAAGTTCTCTCCAGTCCCCCTGCTGTCCCCATCCTAGGAAGGATTGGCACCTCGGTCACCTCCTACCATGGGATCCTCACCTGCCCCCCCCCCCATCACCGCAGTGTCCTTCCCTGAGCCCCAAGTGTCCTCTCAGGGATCTTAGCTGGCTTTATAAGGCCCAAAAGTCTCAGGTGACTTCACAGTCCCGTTCTCATGGCCCAGCCTGAGCAAGACACCCCATGGTTGTTCCAGGGTCCCCCTTGCAGGGACATTGTAAGGACTCACAATGAAGTACTCTGTGTGGGACTCAGAGAGCTTAGGAAGCCCCTGTGGTCCCTGGAGCAGGGCCTGAGGGGACCCTGGGAGGTGTGACCACTCCCCTGAAGGCCTTGCCCTTCCAGGCCAGGCTGGGGAGAAGCCCCTCCAACTGTCTCACCTTTGGACCTCCAGGCATGCAACTCGTGGGGTCCCTTACATCTGTCACCCCAGCAGACTTCTGGTGACAGATGACTGAGGGCGCCTGAAGCTCTCTTCTTTGGCCTTCTAGGGACAGAAGAGGAGCCTGTCCATCCTAGAGAGCATAGGCTTCCGAGTGGGCCAGGCACTGGGTGAGAGGTGAGAGCTGACACCTTCTACCTTGGCTGGGGAGTCATCGAGACCCCAGGGCGGGGAGTCTGACTGAGCCTAGTTCCTCACGGGGGTCTTCGGCCTGCCCTGTAGACTGCCCCAGGAGACTCTGGGCTTCAGGGAGGAGCTGGATGTCCTCAAGTTCCTCTGCAAGGACCTGTGGGTGGCCGTGTTCCACAAGCAGATGGACAGCCTCCGCACAAATCACCAGGTGGGTATGCCTGGTGCCCGCCCTGCCCCAGCACTCTGGGCTTCCAGGTAGGGGGCAGAGCTCAGAGCCAGTGGGAGGTGGGGTGGGGACCCAGCGCAGGAGGGAAGCCAGGCTACAGTGGGGCATCCGGCTGTTTTCGGAGTGGCGGGAACCTCTTCAGGCTGACAGCATCTGCATCTGACTTGGCATGTCACTGCTCGTTCACGCTGGTGCTGGCTGCCATCAACTGCCCACGCTGGCTCAGCCCCCAGCAGGATCAGGGGCCAGGGCTTCAGCTCCCCAGCAACGCGGGAGGCAAGGCCTGCAGGGTGGGTGGACCCAGGCCCTTCCAAAGCTCAGAACAAGGGACCCCTGACACAGGTGACAAGGGAAGGGGCCCACTCCCTGTCCTAGTGCCAGAGCACAAGCCCAGCCCTCATGACCCCTCTGCTCGCAGGGGACCTACGTCCTGCAGGACAACAGCTTTCCCCTGCTCGTCCCCATGGCCTCAGGCTTGCAGTATGTGGAGGAGGCGCCCAAGGTATGGGGGCTGGGATTTCACCCTTCAGCCCCCACGCCCACCCCATCCCAAGTTAGGCCCCCTTCCAGGCCCAAGGCTGTCCCAAGGCCCAGGGCCTGGTGCTGACTCCCCTCGGCCACAGTGCTCTGTGTCCCCTGCTCCAGTTCCTGGCCTTCACCTGCGGCCTTCTGTGCGGCACCCTCAGTACCCTCGGCTTCCAGAGCTTGGTCACCACCTCTGTGACATCCCTGCCTGCCTGTGAGTCTTAGCTCTCTGTGCCCCCTGAGTGTGGGGTATTCCATGCTCTTCTGGCCTTGCTCCCGTGTGGGTGCTGGAAGGTGAGCCCAGGCCACAAAGCCCCATCTGACAGGTGGAACTTGAGGCCCAGAGTGCCTCAGTCCCCAGGTCAGTCCCTGCCCAGCCCCAGGGCAGCCCCAGCGCTTCCTGGGTGGCCTCCCTGCCTGAAGAGAGACCCATGGCATTGTGAACGGAACCAGGAACATACAAGACATCTCCCAGATGGTTTCCTAACGAGGGGCTGGGAGCTCTGGAGGAGATGGATGGGCACACAGAACCCTGCCGTGGGTGGGGGGCTTCCAGGCTGCAGACCCCAGCCAATGAGCTAAAGCTCTAACCCTGCCCGTGGCCAACCCCTCAGCCTATGGCCATCTATAAGGGTCTGCCTGTTACCTCCCTCTTCCAGTTCCCTCGGCCACTCATGGGGGACCTGAGGGCCCATGTGGGCAGGGCCTGAGCACTATGAGCCACAGAAGTCCACGCAGCCCAGAAGGCTGAACTCCATGTCCCCAGCACCCACGCCATGCTGGGGTGCAGCCTGCTGGGCGGCATCATTACCCCTTCAGCCTACTCGCTGAGCAGAGGGAGTGCCATCCCAGGCCACCCAAGCTGCCGCATGGGGCGGGGGTGGACGCTGAGCTGCTGGGTGCATTCTGCCTCTCCCCAGCTCCCAGCTGTGCTAAAGCAGCCCTTTCCTTCCAGGTAAGTTTCAGGTGGTGATCCGGAAACCCTGAGAGCCTGGGGCCCAGCCTTGAAGCAGCCCTGGTCTCCCTCCTGCCCCAGGAAAGGCTGTCACCTTGCACAGAGCCCAAGGCTGCTGCCTTTGGGGTAGTGTTGGGACTGGTGCTGCTGGGGTCACCCCTGCCCAAGGAGAGGGTATCCCAGCGAGGTGGGGGGCATGGGGTCAGGTGGTCCCACAGTGGGGATTGGAATGGAGGAATGTGGGTCATGTCACTCCGAGTGATAAGCCCTCAATAAACATTTTCTGAATGGATCGAAGTGAGGTTCTAGTGACTATGTCATGGGTGCTATTGGGGAACAGAGCACCCTCTGCACTTGCCCTCCCACCTTCTATGCTCTTTGGTCCCCAGCTGGTGACCTGGGGCCAGAAACTCATCACCTCCCCCCGCCCCTGCTGCCTCAGCGTCTCTGTCAGTCAGCAAGTCTGGGGCTGCCCTCTGCCCAGCGGGGTACAGGAGCGCAGCTTCTCTCTGGGGGAGCTCTGACACCCTCATGCCCCACCCCCACCGGGTACTCAACATCCTGCACCTGAGGCCTTGAGGACACAAGTCAGACCCACGACGATGACCTGGCTGGTCCCTGGGCATTGCCAGCCTCCTGGTTTACCCTGCCACCTCAGCCTGTTTGCAGCATCTGGAGCCACTGCACACCTAGACTGGTGCCCGGACTCCTGCTGCAGGTAAGCACACAGCCTCAGAGCAGTAAAGGCTGGGGTGAGACCCCAGGGCATGAGGGAAGGTCCCCAGCTGGAGAACCCTAGTGGCTCAAGCACCCTGGATACCTGGCCCAGCCCACACAGCTGACCCGTGCCCCTCGGCCTTCAGCAGCCATCCTCCTCTGCTGACCCCAGAACCACCTCGCCCTTCCGTGCCTGCCCTGGGAGGCCCCATGCTGCCCAAGTTTCAGCCACGGTGCAGGCACGGACACACGCTACCCCTGCATCCTAGGTGGGAATGTTGGGGATGGGCAGGCAGCTTCTAGGGAAGGGGAGGGAAGAAGAGGCCTTCTGAGAATGAGAGGAAACAACTCGCTGGAGGAGGAAGGGGCCAGGCCCTTGGAGCAGGGGCAGCGTGACTGCCTGGGAAGAACCCCAGAGGCAGGGGACAGCACCGACCAGCAACTCCCTGGGGAAGGCCCGCACCCTCTGCCCCCAAGCCACTGCAGGGAGATGGCTCTAGGGAGCAGAGGGCCCCCTCCAGTACCACCTTGGCGAGGTGGGAGCAGGCAGGAAGCCGAGCCTAGGGACACAAGCGCCACCTGTTCTCAAGTCCCTGCTGTGCCTCTGGGTAGCTACCCAGCTCTGGCCCCGTTTCTTCATCTGTAAAGAGGGTGTCACATCTGTAAAGTGGTGGTGAGGAGGCAGGGGGTCACGGAGCTGTGCCTGCATCTGTGCCTCTCTAAGTGGGTCAGCAGGCCGCCACAGGTAGCATCCGCCATTGCTAAGGGCCACGACGTGGGCTCAGTGATACCTCCTGATAACCTCAAGAAGATGCCAGCCAGGCCCACTCAGCAATGAGGAAGCCAAGGCCCAGAGCGGTGAAGTCACTAGCCCAAGGTCACACAGCTGGGCTGGGGAGGAACCGGCAACTGAAACAGCAGTGTGTCCTCCCTGAGACTCGTCCCCCCATCCCTGCCCACTGCCCCCACCAGGAGTGCCCAGGTCTGTGTGAGCCCCGGCCCCATCCCACTCCTGGGGTGCACTGTGGCACCGGAGTGCCAAGTCCTAGAGAGCAGCAGGATAGGCTGCTGCTGGGAGGGGCGGGGACAGGCGGGCAAACCGGTCAGGCGGGCGGTGCTTGGGCACCAGTTGGGCTTGCGCGACAGACAGTCCTGTCCTGGGGCTGGCCAGGCAGCTTGGCCACGGGCAGGGAGCTGGGGCCTCGAGGCTGCCACCAGGTAAGTCCAGGGACCGGGGTGGGAGGTAGCAGGCAGGGCCCCTCACCCTCATCACCCTGGGGCCTGCCACCCCACCTTCACCTGCCCCTGCCGGGCGGAAGCACCCTTCCTGCCTCTGCTTGCCAGAGCCCCTGTGCCTGCCACACTGCATTCAGGGAGCCGCTCCCCAGATGACCCCCACAGTTTCACTGCTCCCCGGTTTCTCTTCCCCATTTCCCTCTCAATTCAGCCTTCACAGGTACCAGTCACCCTGGGTGTCCTGGCTGCTTCCCAACTCAACCGCATCAGCCCCCACGTCCCCGGCCTCGTCTCCTAATGCTACTGGGCCCCCCTGCTTCTTCCCGCTGTCTGCCTCACCTCTGTCCCCCCCAGGGCCAAGCCCTCTCCATCCTCCTGTGTGCTGTGCCCACCTCTCCCACCTGGGCCCCCATCCTGGAACATGGGACCTAACCACGGCCGCAGAGGGCCGTCCTGAGGCAGGCTGGCAGCGACCCCGAGCTCAGCGCGCAGCCACTTCACAGGGCAGTCGGCTCACTGTATCCCTCGCCCAGGAGCAGGCGCCCGAGGCTGCCACCCGCCATGCAGAAGCACTACAGCGCCCACTACGCCAAGAGAGCCCAGAACCCCACCGAATCCTGCTGCCTGGATCCAGAGTTAGGGCACAAAAAAGGTAAGGCTCTGGGGTGTAGGGTCATGGCAGGAGAAAGGAAGTGGGGAGCACCATTGAGTGGATGCTGCCAGCGCCCTCTGAAGAGGCTTTTATTGTTTGGGGATGATTTTTTTTTTTTTTTTTTTTTTTTTTGTCAGTTGATTGATTAGTGCTGGGGACTGAACCCAGAGCTTCATACAGAGCTACATCCCCCGGCCTTTTTATCTTTTTTTTTTTTTTTTCCTTCTTTTTCACTTTGAGATAGGGTCTCATCAAGTCACTAAATTCCTCAGGCTGGGCTTGAACTTCAGCCTCCCAGAAGGCTAGGATAACTGGCTTGTGCCACCACAGCCACCTTATGTTTTGTTTCATGTTTGAAATGGAGCCTGGCTATGTTGCCCAGGCTGGCCTCAAACTCCTGAGCTCGAGGGATCTTCCTGCCTCAGCCTCCCAGCATTGGGACTACTGGAGTTTGTCCCCACCATCAGCTGGTACGGCTGAGTGTAGAGTTCTTGGTATGGTGAGGCCCAAGAGGCTGGCACAGATCCCGGAGTCAAAGGCAGAAAGCTGCTCTGCAGATGGGTCAGCCATCTGGCACTGTTAGCAGGGGTAGCCCCCTGACCTTTGGGAGTGGTATAGAAGAGGAGGGGAGCTCCCATGGAGTCTCTGAATGAGTTAGGACAGTTACCTCCCACTGGGGCTGACTGAATCAGCACCCTCCTGAGCCCCGACAGGGCCCGCCCCTCCCTCCTGAAGCTGGCTGTCCCCACCTGTCACTCTGGCTGCTCTGGCTCAGCCAGGTCACTTCTCTGGGGATTACTCTCAGCACCCCTCCCACCCGTGGAGACCCGCCCTGGGTCCCCCTGGCTTTTCAGGACCAGCTGGACTCTCCTGGTTTGTGCCAGTGCCCAGGGTTGGGGGCCCAGGCCCAGTCACCCTACTTCCTTCTTTCCAGGATGCTGTCACCAGTGGCGCCAGGACCCAGCGGCCCCTCGAGCCCATGGGCCCTGTCGGCTGTCCCCCCAGTCACACTGGCAGCAGGCCTACTACAGCCACCGGGGCTGTGGCAGTGGCTGGCACCGGGGCCCCAAGGTCCCCGTCCTACAGCAGCAGAAGCAGCGGCAGCCCCAGCTCCCACCTCCCAGCCCTGTGCGGCAGCGGCTCAGCCTGGTTCACAGGGCCCAGAAAGGGCCGCCCACAACTGCCGCTGCCCCCACGAGACCAGCCAGCGCCCCCCAGCCACTCCCTATGCCCTCTGCAGCACCCGCCACAGCACCCACCACGACCAGCAGCAGCCCCGAGCTGCTCTCCACAGCCCGCACCCGCCTGGAGCCCAGCGAGCCCACCAGTGCCCGGCCCCTGCCCGCCCCGGCAGCCTGCGGCTCCTTCACCTCCTTCGGCACCGGTGCTCAGCCAGGCCTTCTCGGGGGCTCTGCCTGGCTCCTGCCTTGCTTCTGCCTGGGCTTCTTGCTCCCTGGCTGGCACCTCCAGGCTCCCTCCCCATCCTTCACTCTGCCCCCTGCCCCTGCCTGCCCTGTCCACCTGTCGGGGTCCATGGCTTCCAGGCCAGGCCTGTGCTGGGCAGCAAGGGCTTCCCTCCTGCCCCCCTCTACCTCATGGAACCTGGGCTCTGCTTTCTCTTCCCAGTCCCCCACCCCTGGCTGGGCAGGGTGGTACGAGGACATGGGGCAGCCTGGCGTGGGGGAGACAGGCCCTGTGTGGAGCTGCCACGAGAGGTAGGGAGCAGCAGGGGCAAGGAGAGGGCTTCTGGTGCGGAGGGCACCACCCTCATGTGTACAGGTGGCCAGTGACAAGGTCCTGACCACCACTGAAGTGCATGCCAGGCACTGTCTAGGGCACAGTGGGGAACAGGGTACATGGGATGCAGGACAGCGACAGGAAACAGGATGAACAGGAGAGTTTAAAAGTGTGTCACAACCTCCCTGGGGAAAATAAAGCAGGGAGACAGAGCAGGTATAGGGTTTGGGGCCTCCCAAAGGTGACAGCTGAGTACACCCTGTGCAGCAGGGCCGGTGAGGCAGAGGCCCTCGGCAACTTCTCCTAGGGCCACCAGGAGGCCAGGACTTCGAGTGAGGCCAGGGCCACTGCAGCGTGACCTGACCAGGGTGGTGACTGCAGACATGAGGATGTGCAGCTGTTTTGAGGTCTGGGTTGGGCATGACCTTGTCACCAGAGCCTTGGGGCCAGGATGCCCCATTTCACACACAGGAAAATAGAGGGTGCATGAGGTGACATCACCCATTGATCAGGCAGAACCAGGACTGGGTCCGGCCTGGCCACCATCGCCTTGACTGAACTTGTCCTAAATCTGCCTTCCGGCTCTGCCTCCAGCCCCGGTCCAAGTCCTACAGAGGAAGGAGTCCAGCTCCCCAGGTTTCTCCCATAGTGGGTGTTGTGTTGCCACGTACGTGCTGCCGTGACGCTGGCTTGGCCACCACGACTGAATGCTACCTTTTAACACCCAAATTCCAGGTCCAGGAAGTTAGGCATGGGGGCCAGGAGCCCTCTGCAGAGTGGACTCCAGTGCTTGCGGAGCCCCTCGGGGCCAGTGGTCTGTACCTTAAATGACCATGGCGTTGCTCTTGACCAAGGGCCCAACCAAGCCCTTTGACATCCACGCCCCCTAGTGTCTTCAGAGGAAGGGACTGAGCCTCTTGGAGGTGTCACTTCCTGGGTCCTGCAGAGGAAGGGGGAGGGCAAGGACTGGAAGCCCAGTTTGGATGAGGGTGGGATCACTGACTTGCGGGCATGGGGCCCTGGCTGGCAGAGAGGTCAGTTACAGTGTGGACAGGAAGTAGAGAAAAGCCTGTGGTCTTCTGGGCACACTTATTTGGTGCCAGGCATGCCGGGTGGGTGGCAGCCGGTGCAAATAGGGACTTCTGAGGGACCCGAGAAAGATCCATAAGCTTTTCCCCCGTGGAGCCATGGGCTAGTGGCTGGGCAAGCCCAGGGATCTGGACTAGGACAGCCAGATTACTACAGGCCCTGGGGGCCTGGTCAGACCCTCCAAAAGGCCACATGTGACCCTGGGGTGGAAGGCGGGTGGCCACAGAGACCTCCCTCATTGGCTTTGACCTGAGTCACTGCTGGGAAGATGCTGGTGCAGGGATGGCCAAAGGCAGGGCTTGGAGAGCAAGGGGAGGAGGGAGGGTGGTTCCTGGCCAACCTCACTGACTCAGTTTCCCCAACCCAACCCCAGACATCCTGACGGAGGATGACGTCTACTGCAGCTGTCTGGCCAAGACTCTCTGCCACGTGCCCGTCCCCGTGACCGTGGGTTTCTATGCCCCCTTCGGCTGTCGACTGCACATGATGCTGGACAAGATCACCAGTGAGGATCTGTGGGTGTGAGGGTGGGTGGGGGGACATGAAATGGTCCACAGCCATGTTCCATTCATGCCTGTCATCCCAGCACTCAGGAGGCTGAGGCAGGACATCACCGTGAGTTCAAGGCCTGCCTGGATTATGTAACAAGACTGTCTTTTTTTTTTCTTTTTTTCTTTCTTTCTTTCTTTTTCTTTTTTTTTTTTTTTTTGGTACCTGGGATCAAACTCAGGACCTTGCACATGCCAGGTGGGTGCTGTGCCATTGAGCTCTATCCCTGGCCTGAGACATTGTGCCAAAAAAAAAAGAAACATCCCACAGAGACCAGCCTGCCCCATCCATAACGCAGCAGTGACCCATACCCATGCCCTCTGCCTGGTCTTGCCTGGTCACAACCAGGTCTCATGCCCTCCCTGTCCTCTCCTTCACCATGGAATCTACTCCAAAGGATCCTCCTAAAATTGAGACTGGTTCTCTGGTTTTCCTTCGCTTAGGAGCCCCCTGTGCTCCCCAGCACCCTGGGGAGAAGCTCCTGCCTGGCACTGCCAGGACGCCCTGCAGACACTGCCACAGGGACGAGGCCCCCCACCTGGTGCAGGGGCATGGCTTGCTCAGAGCTAGGCCCGAGGGAGGCCAGAGCGGCTCGTGATTCCTCTGTTTGCCTGAGCTAGCTGTTAGGGGGCATCTACTCTGGGGGGCCCAGATCTGCCCCTGTGGGGCCAGGTCAGGGGAAAAGATTGCCAGAGTTCCTACCCCCTCCTTCCAGTTCTATACAGCACCTACTTGGGAACCAGGGGACACGGGTGACCCAGGTAATCAGCACTGTCCAGCAGGGAAGAAAGACTTGTCCTTAGACCCAGCCTGGGGAGGGCTGAGGGCCCCTGAGCTGGCCTGACATCAAGGAGGGCTCCCTGGAGGCGGCAGCACCATGCGATCTGTGCCTGAGGAGCAGTGAACCAGGAAAGCAGACCAGGGCTAGGACCCAGCTTCTTTCATTCATTCATTAGGTTCCCTTGGGCCCTGTTCTTAGAGCCTTCTCAGGTCCCGTCAGTGCCCTGGCCAGGCAGGCCCACCCCTGCCCCTGTCCTGGATCTAATGCCCTCTGTCTCCTCTCATTCTCTCTGCTCTAAAGAGCTGCTTCTGCTTTGACCCCCAGTCTGGCCTTCGCAGGGCTTGTGGTGCAAGCCTCTGCTCCCCTGCGTTCTTAACCTGCTCCCCGCTCCGTAGGGCTGTTTGTGGCACAGGTGAAGTACCGCGCAGCCCCCAGGCCTCCTCCAGGAGCGCCCACTCAGAGCTGCTCTTATTTTTTGACCACTCCCATTCCCGCCCACCTTGGCCATTCACACGGCCTTCCCCTGCGCTCCTCCCCCCTCCCCCCGCAGTGCTCATGCAGCAGGAGGCGACGCAGCGCGAGCTGGAGGAGCTGCAGCGCGTGCAGTGGCAGCCGCGGCAGGTGCGAGGCTGGGGCTACCCGCGGCTGCTGTGGTACCTGGTGTTCCTGCAGCCCATCATCACCGAGGTGCACCTGCGGCGCAAGAACGTGCAGTTCCTCTTCATCCGCTTCAGCGCCTGGCAGTACGCAGGCACGGACAAGCTGTGGGCCGGGCTGGTGACCACGCTCTGCGAGGGCATCCGCCACCACTATGGTGCGCTGCCCTTCAGTGTGTACTCCGTGCTGGGCAACAAGCCAGCCACGTCGCCAGGATTGTGCCAGCGCGAGTGGCACTGCCGGCGCCGCGTGTGCCTGGCGCTGCTGGCGCTGCTGGCGGCGCTGGCCCTGGGCGTGGGTCTGCTCTACCTGTCCCTCGGCGGCCCCAGCCACACAGCCGCCGGCGGCGCTAACCGCACAGCCTCCAGTGGCAGCTTGCTCAAGATATTCGGCGGCGCGGCCACCACACTGTCTGGCTCCGGGCTGCTCATGGCTGTGTACTCGGTGGGCAAGCACCTGTTTGTGAGCCAGCGCAAGAAGATCGAACGGCTGGTGACGCGCGAGAAGTTCGGCAGCCAGCTGGGCTTCATGTGCGAGGTGAAGAAGGAGGTGGAGCTGCTCACCGACTTCCTGTGCTTCCTGGAGATCTACCAGCGGCGCCGGCTGCGCGTGGTGCTCGAGGTCACGGGGCTGGACACGTGCTACCCAGAGCGCGTGGTGGGCGTGCTCAATGCCATCAACACGCTGCTGTCTGACAGCCATGCGCCCTTCATCTTCATCCTGGTCGTGGATCCCAGTATCCTGGCTGCCTGCCTGGAGAGCGCCGGCAACATGAAGGGCACGGCGGACAACGGCTACCTCTTCCTCAACCGCACGGTCACACTGCCCTTCTCCGTGCCCATCATGGGCCGCCGCACCAAGCTGCAGTTCCTGCATGACGCCGTGCAGAGTCGCGATGACCTGCTCTTCCGCGAGATCACGCGCAAGCTGCGGCAGGCCGAGAGCCAGGCCAGCGAGGGCGCGCAGCTGCTGGCCGTGGAGACGCAGGCGGAGGCCGAGCGCACGCAGGGCCGCATCGACGCCGAGGCATCGCGTCGCATCCAGGAGGCGCTCTTCTGCCTGCACAACGAACACGACTGCCTGTACGAGTTTGTGCCCGATAACGTGGTGTCCATGCGGCGCATCGTCAACACGGTACCCATCACCGTGCGCCTGCTGCAGCAGCAGCAGCAGGCCAACGTCGTGGGCCCCACGCCGCGCCAGGCCGTGGCGTGGGTCGTGCTCGCCAACCAGTGGCCCTGCCGCCTCAGCTGGGTGCTGCAGTGCCTGGAGGACAAACAGCAGGCAGGCGGCGAGCCCCAGGCCAGCGCGCGTCTCTGGGACGTTTTCTGCGACAACAGCCACGAGCTGCACAGCATGACCAAGGCTCTGCAGAACGTGCTGGACCTGGATGGCGACCCTGAGCTCTTTGAACGCTTCCTGGGCTCCGACTTCCCCTTCACTGTGGCCGAGGCGCAGTGCCTGCTGCGCTGCACTGTTAACCTGGACCACTCCATCCGCCGCCGCATGGGGCTCATCCGGGCGATCAGCGCACTCAAACCACCCAGCCCGCCCAAGTCCCCTGCCCAAGATGCACCTTTTGCTGCCCGCAGAGCCACTACCACCACCATGGGGGCATCCCCGAGAGGCCCTGTGGCACAGCAAACAACTGAAAACCACCACCCCCTGGACCGGGCCCATGAGGGCAAGCCGAGGCCGGCAGCCTGAGCCACCTCACTCTGGATGGATGAACCTAGTGGGGCAGCAAGCCGTCCACTGTCCCCTCGAGGGCGTAGGGGCCACACACCCCAGGTCGCTCTGGCTGCAGTGCCAGTGCCTCCCAGCAGGGAGGAAAGGTGCCCTGAGGAAGCCAGGGCTCAAGTGCAATAAATGGTGTGCAAAGCCCTCCAGTGGACACGGACGTCCTGGCTCCCTGGCTTGGTGAGGACTGGGCACCTGGCCTGCCCTGCCCTGCCCACTTCTTCCGCAGGAGCCAGGCCTCTGAGGCATGCACTGGCAGCCAAAGCTGGCATCTGGTTCGCAGGAGAGCTGCGGGGGCGGTGGGCGAAGCAGAGGAGATAAAGGGCAGGTTGACTCAGGCAAACAGGAGTGCCAGGCCTCGGGGAATCTGGGTCCTTGTCCCTGTGACCTTGCCTGTCTTCTGTGGCATTTCCAGGTGCCGCACCCACTGACTTCACAAGGTTGCTCCACCCTCGCTATGCAGGATGGTGGCACTGTCACCCCAAGAGTAACTGTCCAGGAGTGCCCCTGGGGTCACAGTAGGGCTGCTTAGTGCCATAGGCTGGCCACTGACACTGAAGTCACCTGATCAGCCCCTTCATGAGGACTAGTGATTGAGACACTCCAGGACAGAGTCTGAGCCAGCGGCTGGGCTTGTTAGGGCTGGGCTGGGTGCTGCCAGCTTGCTCCTCACCCGCCTCTTCCAGCAGTGGGAATGGCCTCATGCCCAAGTTCCTAAGTCTTTATCTGGCAAACAGCCCCACACACGGGCCTCTAGGGTTCTTGGCCCCATCAGGAAGCAGTGGGGACCAGAAGCCAAGGGCATGACTTCCAGGTCAGTCCCCAGGAGACCAGAGCCCAGAGAGCTCTGTGAAGGTGCCTCCCTCAGGCCAGCCCAGGGCTCAGGACGGGGGCGCTGGCCCCATCTGCCTTCCCTCTCAGGCCTGGCCTGCCCTTCAGGTGACAGTGTGTGTGGCTAACAGGTCAGAACCCCAGTAACTATCAGGGACAGAGGCCCAGCTGCTGGAATGAGTGTGGGCCTGCTGGGGTCAGGCCTCCAATCTAAGGGGAGCCTGCCCAAGGATTGAAGCCCCCAGGACATGGGCCTCGTGGCTGCATCTGTTGGTGTGGCCATGGCTGTGCTGGGGTTGGCACACGGCTGTCCCCTTTGGCTTTGTCAGGCTAGTTTGAGGTGGGCTCGTTTCTCATGGCCCAGTGCTGGCTTCAGGAAGCGGGCTCTGGGGGAGCAGGCCCCAGGTCACAGCTGCCCGGGGCCTGCAGTTGCTGTTGGATGGTCCCCAGCAGTGGCCAGTCTGTCACCCTTCTTGTCACAAGGCTCTGCTAAAGCTGGTGTTCGGGAGACTATAAAACAGGAGCAGGATGTCAGGGGGCTCCTGGGGCTGAGGTGGCCATGCCCACCAGGGCCCATGCTCCCCTGGGTGTGGAGCTTCTGCAGGAATTCACCACCCTTTGACAGGTGCTGCAGGTGACCGCGCCTTTGCCATGGCAGCCAGGAGTGTGCGGGTATCTCGTGTGGTGTCTGCTGTGTTCTGGTGTTTTGTGTTATGACAGTGTGCATCTGTGAATTCCCACGTGACTATACTGACTGGCATTGTGGTGTTGTGTCCCCCCACCCACCAAGGGGGCAGGGATGTCAACCCAGGTGACAATAAATAAGCACTTGGGGAAGCTGGGCCCATGAGTCACTTTGTGCCTGCAAGGGTGACAATCAGTGGTGCCAGTCAGGATGGAGAGGTCTTGGGGACGTGGGGCAGTGTCCAGCAGTGACTCCCTGCCAAGACAGAGCAAACCGGGTGCTATCAGGGTGGCTGAAGGGGAAAGAGAAGGAAACCCCGGGCTATGATCACAGTTCTCCCACAGGTGAGGCTCACAACAGCACGTTTCCTGGCACACAGGTGTAGCGGCTCCAAGGCTTCACCACTGAGATCCCCACCCCCCCTTTTTTTTGCCCTTCCTGGCTTGTGGGGCACAGCTGATGACACATGGATTGTAATTGCGTCAATCCATCCTGTCTTCTCCTGATGGCTCCTGGTGTCCCTTCCCATGTAAGTGAATGACAGTCTCAAGATACTGCACAAGCAGATCTTAAACTCCTGGGCTCAAGTAATCCTCTTGCCTCAGCCTCCTCAGTAACTGGGATTATGCTTATGCTACCCTACCTGGCTGCAGTCATCTCCCTACCAGACCTGGTGATGGGATGGAACCTAGAGCTTATGCGTGCTAGGGAGGTTCCGTACCACCCAGCTACACCCAGGCCCAAGTCCCCTCTGTGAGCACACCAGTGGATCAACTTAGGGCCATCCTGCTAGTACACCCTAAAAATACTGGGGGTTAGGACACGAGCATTTTCTATGACTGTGAGAAGGGCCCTGTTGGTCACCCCAAGCTAAACAGTGCAAGGAAGGACAGGGAAGAGGCTAGAAGAGGCCCTCAGCCCCTCACAGGCACCACAGGGTACAAACTCTGTGCCCACCAGCAGGGGGCAGCCAGGGCACAGGTGAGCACCGTACCACTGCTCAGGCCACAGCCCAGGGCTTTAGGGTTAGGCTCACAGGCGCCAGCTGAAGCCTGACAGGGCTGGGACTTGACTCTCCGAGCCCAAGCAGAACAAGGACCCAGTCCTCAGTGCCTCCTCACACCAGGACTGGAACCAGGGCAGCTTAAGAGGGACCCCAAGCCCCACAAGGTCACAGACAAGGGACAAGTGGCCCAGAGCTCAGAAGGAGAAGTCAGGCTGACCGTGTGGGTGCCTCTCAACTGCTTGGGACATGAATGGGATGGACAGTGCCCCTGGCTGGTAATAAGTGGAAGTTCTAACATGGCTGACCTAGGGACAGTGAGGACACCTCTAGCCAGAAAGGTGCTTGTGACAGATGCCAGGGTGGTGTGAGTGACCCAATCACACAGGAAAGGAGTGCAGGAGGGGCCTGCCTTGACCACAGGGTGGCGCTCCTATCCTGCCTGGGCCTGAGCTCAGGACCCTGGGGCTGGGTGTTCACAAATGCCACATGCATGCTGGCCAGTTCCTGCACTATTTCACTTTCTGGTTTTCTTTTGCCCCCCCCCCCCCCCCGTACTGACCTTCAGGTGCTCCACCCATCTCACCCCACAGGGACGCCCAAGGCCAGACAAAGCAGAGAGGGGTGAGTGGTGAACCCAGCCCAGTTTATTAGAAAAGGTGTGAACAGAGCCGCACCGCCGGTCCCCTCGCCCACCCGCCCGCCCGCCCGTGGTTGTAGTGCCTCCCAGGGCACAGCCTCGATGGCCTGGGCAGAAGGTCCTCAGGCACCCTCGGCTGCTGCCCCAGCTCCCTGATAGATTTATTGCACTTAAGAGAAAGAAAGCTCTGATCCTTTGCACCCAGCCCCACCCGCCCGGCCCTCACCCCACCTGGCGCATCTGCCAGCTTCTGCCACCAGTGCGTGTGGCATCAGCACCCATGGTGGCACTGTTTGTGGCCCCTCCCATGCCACCTGCCTGGTCCTGGGTGGGGCCCAGGGGGCCACCCCGCCACCTCAGACTCCTGCTTCTGGCAGGACAGGGCAGGCCGGGCCGGCTCTCCAGAACCAGAGCAGCTCTGTGGCCTCCTCGCCCTCCTCCCCCTGGCGTCAACCCCAGCCCCGAGTTTTCGAATGTCAGACATAAATAGATGCCGCAGCCTTGCGGCTGTAGTGTTCCTGGGGAGGGTCCTCGGTGCCCCAGCCTGGCATCCTGGGCTCCGGAGGGCTGGGGTGAGGGCGAGCAGGTTCTCATGGCTCTGGCCTCAGCTCATCCAAGACCAACCGGAAAAAGGAACTGGTGGGGACAGAAAACAGGGGGTGCCATCAGAGCAGGGACCCCTGCCATCCCTGCCCCATAGCCCAGCCACCTACAGTGTCACAGTGTCTCCTGCGCCGCCTCCTGACTGGCCTCCAGAAGCAGCTCCTCCAGTGCCTTCTCATCTTGCGGGCAGTGCAGCTCTGCGGGGTGGCCTTCATCAGGTGGGGCAGCAGCGGGACCCAAGACCACACACATCCTCGCCCCCCTCCCCTGGCCCCAGGGCGGAAACCGAGGCCCAGACCCCACCTGCTCCCACCCGTTCCCGGGCTGGTTTCCAAGGGAGATGGCCAGCTGTGCCCCGGCCATGCCGGGCCTCTCACCGTGCTCCAGGCCACAGCTGCCTCCCTTGACCTCAGGCCCTGGCGGTGGCTCTGGGGGCAGTGCAAGAGCAAACTCGGGCTTCAGGCCGTTGGGCAGAGGTGGGCCTGGCTGAGGTGACTCTGGCTGAGGTGACCCCGGATCCTGGGTGCCAGTGGCCTCGGCTGTTGGGAGGACCGGGGTGGGGAGCAGGAGTGGGGAGGGAGGGGAGTCGAGGCTGGAGGGGGCAGGGGGCTCTGCCCTCTCAGGTGGACTCTCCACTCGGGTCACCACAAACACCTTGTGACCCCGGCCTGGGCTGGATACGGAAATCCGTTGCTCGGTAGGAGAGGAGGGGCTGCCTGGAGGGCTCCTGTCCCCAGGGCCGAGAGAGTCTGTAGGGGGCACCAGGGCAGGACAGGGCACCGAGGGACTCTGGCCACTGCTGGTATCTTTCCTCTGCCCATCCTCCTCCTCCTCCTCTTCCTCCCCGTCCGAGACCGAGTCCGAGTCCGAGTCCGGGCCGAGCCCCGGGCTGGGGGCCCCATTCTGAGCTGCAGCAGGGGGCGCATCCCCAGACTCCAGGGGCTGTGGCGCAGTGACGGTGATCTCGGGCATGGAGGTCGACAGCTGCAGCTGCTGCTCCTTCTCCTCCCGCTCCCGCACCAGCACGAAGTTGCGCTTGCAGCCGTTTTGTATCTCGGCCAGTAGCGCCTTCTGCGTCTCTATGAAGCTCTTCACCTGTGGGGTGGCACGGGCTAGGGCCGTGCGCTCCAGCAGGCCACGGCGGCCCTGCCCCATAGAACCCCCCAGAGCCCTCCTCCCCCCTGCAGGGAGCCCCCGCTGGCTCACCGCCTCCTTCTTGGGTTCCCGGTCAAGGTCTAGGCGCAGCAGGGAGTGGTTCACCTTGAGAGCCAAGGACAGCGCCATGAGCCCGCCAGTCTTGATCTCGTTTTCCCGCAGGTCCAGTCTCAGGAGGCGGGGGCTCTCGGCGATGAACTCCGCCACTGCCACCGCGCCTGGGAGGGGGACCGCAGGGGCTGGCCAGGAGCCCCACGCAGTACGCAGGCGCCCAGCTGGCCACCCCTGCCCTGGGCCACGCCCCGCCGCACCGTGCCCTACCCTCACAGGTGAGCTTGGTGGAGGCCAGGCCCAGGCGCAGCACGCTGCGGTTGCCGATGAGCCCGTTCTTGAGGTTGCGCACGCCCTCGTTCCCGATGGGGTTGTGGCCCAGGTTCAGCGTCTCCAGGCTCTGTGTATGTGGCTGCGTGGTGAGGGGCAGACCCCAGGGGATGCAAAGCCCAGGAGGACAAGTCAGGAAGGGAGCCAGAAGAGCCAAAGCCGTGCGCTCTTCCCCCCACAGAGGGACAGCTTCTGTCCAGGCACCGGCAGGAGCCTGGCATGGTGGCCAGTGCCCATAACACTGGCACTTGGGAGGCTGAGGCAGAAGGATTCCCAGGAGTAAGGCCAGTCTGAACTACACAGTGAGCCTGACCCACAGCAGCGCCAAACAGCTGGGCTGCTCGCACACTTGGGTCTCCGCGGTGTCCTGTCCCTATCTACTCCCAGCTCTCCAAGGGTCCCCGAATCCTGGCTCCGCCCTCGCAGGGCCTGCCGCTCTGCGCTGAGGCCGGGCTGGCGGCGGGCATAAGCACGGCCCTTGACCAAGGTGCTGGGTCCTCCGGGATTACACACTATATACATCAGGTCAAGCTAAGCGGCACGGGCTGTCACCCCAGCATGCGAGAGCCCAGGAAAGGAAGATCCTGATTGTAGGGCCAGCAGGGGCTACACAGGGAGCGCAAGGCCAGTTATATACTGAGACCCTAACTCAAAGCACCACATAAATAAGTAAACACCAATATTCTGCGACAAAAATAAAAATTTACTAAAGGCTTTCAAAAGCAGCAACTCTTTCAGCACAACATCTATCACACTGGATAAAAAGGGAACTGCTGAAACCAGGGCACAGAGGCTGAGTGCAGACCAGCTGGCTAGGCTGCTTCACACTCCATGGGAGCCAGGGTGTGGGCCGCTATGTAGAGGGCTGGAGTGGCAGAGGCCTGGGGGCCAACTCACCAGCGTCATGCCCAGGAAAGCCATGCCTGTGTGTGTGAGCTGGTTGTTCCACAGCACCAGGGTCACCAGCCCCTTCCTCTGCTCCTTGAGGCCCTCGCAGATGTAGGCCAGGCCTAGGAGAGGTCTATGGTCAGCGTCCAGTCTGTAGCCGGCAGGACTACAGAGTGCACCCTCCGGTGGCCTGCCCCAGCTACCCCAGGGCAGGTCCCAGATGAGACTACCCAGACTCTGGAGCATTCCATGTGCACTGCACACTGGGAATTCACTTTCGTCTACACCTCTCTCTGCTCCATGCCTGCTCTAAGGCCTGAGCTAGACCTGCCAGGGCACGGGGGTGTTAGAGTGGGGTCTAGACTGAAGGGGACAGTGGCCTTGTAGTGCAACTTTGAACCCTTTCTCCACAGAAGGCCAGGGGATTCAGCCCAAAGGTGGATGGCTGTCTCCTGCATGGGAGAGGTGAACCCCTCTCCTTCTCTCAGCTCACTCATCCCTGGCTCACTGGGGCTTCCCCTGCAAGCAGCAAACATCTAAGTGCATCTTTGCCCCAGGGCCTTTGCACCTGCTGCTGCATTTTCCCATGCTTTAAGAAGGACTGGCTCTGCTCAGGTCACCGCCAGACAGTCCCTCCCATTGCCCTTCCTTCCTGTACCCCTCCCACAGCTGCCAGCTGACTACAGCCCAATGATGTCCTCTCCTTCAGGTGCTCTTCAGGTGTGCCTACTCCTGCAATACCTCACTGTATCCCCAAGGTGTCAGTCGAGCTGTCTTCTCCAGGAAGCCCTGCAGGACACCACAGTCGCTCAGCCCCACCAGGCTCCTTAGCCCAGCCTTGCCTGCTCAGGCTGGTCACTGTCTAGGGCAGTGTTGTCTTCCCTATGAGCCGTGAGCCCCAGAGGCCAGCCCTGGTCACGGGTCCCCAGCACCACCAGCCCAGGGCCAGGTGTCGGTGGGACCACACACACCGGAGTCCAACACGTGGTTGTTGCGCAGGTCCAGGATCTGCAGGGAGCAGTTGAACTTGAGCAGGTTGCCCAGTTGCGCCGAGTCCTGCAGGCCATTGAGCTTGTTGTCGGCCAGATACAGCTCCCGCAGGTTCACGTTCATCTTCAGGGCCGTGGCTGCGGGGTCAACATCGGGGTGAGTGGCCTGGCCCCTGCCAGGCACCCCACAGGGCGGGCTGCACCTCCAGGCCTGGGCTCACCAAGCAGCATGAGCGGCCGTCCTGATAGGCTGGCGTTCTCCAGGTGCAGCACGGCCAGGCTGCTTCGGATGCGCAGGGCACGGGCCACGAAGGGCGCGGAGTGGTCCAGCAGGGGTGTGTTGCGGGCATCCAGGTACTGTAGGCAGCTGGTCTGTGGGCCGGGCCAGGGTGGGTCAGCCTGGCCTCCCTGCTAGCCCCAGGCCCTGCTGCAAAGTCATCTTGCAGAGAGAAGCAAGGCCATAGCAGGGCATCCCCATCTGGGCCCAGCCTTCCCAAAAGTGAGGGGAAATGGGGCTGCTACCCACAGCCACCCCGGGGAAGAGAAGGGGAGGGATACGGACCAAAGCTGGGCACCCTGGGATGTGCTGCTATGCCCACCTTCCGCATCATATGGGCAGCGGCCTGCCAACCCCGCGTGCCGATGTGCTTGTTGAAGGAGATGTTGAGGTGAGTGGCCGACTCATAGTACTCGATCATGTCGAACAGGGCTGAGGCACCCTGGGGGCAGACATGGGGTTCAGCCTCAGGGTGAGGAGGCCCCAGGGAGGCATGTGGGACCCCCCCAAGACACACAGGGCTCCAGGAAGCGAGTGAGCCTCAAGGGGGAGGGCACCACTGCAGGGGGCACAGGAAGGAGGCCAAGCGGTGGCAGCCGTGGCTCCAGAGTCAGCTCTGCCTCAAGCAGGCACAGCCTGTGGCTCTAGCCCACAAGAGTCCCTGCTCTGACAAAGCCAGTCTGTCACTGAGTCTGGACTGCTTTTCTCTGTTTTTTTGAGGTAGGGTCTCACAATGTAGCCATGGCTGGCTGAGACTCAGGGATCCTCCCACCTCAGCCTCCCAGGATGACAGGCTTGCTGGACCATGCCTGGCAGGAGTCCTGACTGATGTGCTGTGTGACCTGCACAGGCCCCAGCCCTGGCTTGCCAGCACTTCCTCAGGGGCCCAGGGGATCTCTCCCCCACTCCCACGCACCTTGCGTTCTTAGGGACCTCTCAGTCTGGGGAGGTGACCACACCTGGCCCTAACTGAAGGGCTTCCCAAATGTTCCCCGGCCCTGTAGGTGCTCTGATCCCCAGAGTGGGCTCCAAAGAAGGTTGGCCCCTCTCTGTGCACTGCCCACTTACCCTCTCTGGTGGGCCCCAAAGCATATCCACCCCCTCTAGCCACATACATGGCTCCCTCTTGTCCTTTTTGGTTTGGTTTGCCTTTTTGAAATAGGGTCTCACTCTGTCAATCCTGAAGGCCTGAGTAGAGGTGTTGGCAAACTGACTTGGCCTTCAACTCACAGCAATCCGCCTACCTCAACCTCCCAAGAGCTGGGGGATGTAAGTCGCCATCCACAGGTCCCTCCTTTAGAGGCCCTGCTCTTGTCCTCCTGCCAGCCTTTGTCTGGGATCCCTTCTTCCTGCAGGGCCCCCTGCCCACCCAAACCTCAGAGGACCTGAGAGCCCCGGGAGCCTGGGTCTGGCTGGAGCAGGAGTGCTCACATCTTCATCCAGGTTCGTCTGTTCCAGGTCCACCACCTTGAACTGCAGCCTCTTGAAGACCTCTTCCAGAGCCTCGCAGGTCTTGTAGTCAAGCTTCTCCCCTGGGAGGAGAGTGGCCGTGTGGATCTGGGTCTGCATGTGGGGTCTGGCCAAGGAGGATGGGAGGCCCTGCCTCTACGGCCCTCCAAAACCCCTTCCTCCCAGCTCCCACCCTGCTCACCACCCTGGGGTGCCCAGAACCACAGACACCCACCTTTCAGGTCTAGGCAGTCAATGCGGTGCTCGAGGTCTGTGAACTCCTGTGAAAGCAGAAACAGGATGGGGGGGGGGGCAGGAAGACCTGAAGGAATGGGGCCACCTGCAGCCCCAGGTGAAGGTCCAGAGCACTGATTCTCAGGAACTACAGGGCCCACAGAGAAGCCCACTTGCCACAGCCAGAGGAGGTGGGGGGGTGTGTGGGCAGGAAGGGTGACAGGGAGAGATGTGCCCCTGACTAGGCACACAGCAGGTGGTCAGTGAAGGGAGGGACAGTACCACCGGCACAGACCCACACCTCGGCCCTGTTCCCTGGATTCTCCATGTCACCCAGGGCTGAGGGCCAGGGCCAGCCTTGCCAGCGGCACTCAGCCTGGCCTGAGCCAGCCTCACCCACAGCTGCCAAGCCAGGCAGCCTCGTCCCTGGGCTTGGGAGTGCAGTGCCCTCGGGACCCGCAGGGGCCTCCCCCAGCCCAGGTACAGACCAGTGGCACACAGCAGAGCTAGCTGCAGGAGCATGGCCTGAATGGGGACTGTGGAAGCTCTGGAAGGCCTCATGAGGGAGTAGATACCCGTGGCAGAACCCTTCATGCACACACGATGCTGTCCCCACTGGGGCTCAGGCAAGAAATGATGGGCTTTGCCCTTTATGTCTCTAACAATCAGGAGCTGTATTATTCCTTTGGTAAATCCGGCTTTTAAGAATACATTTTATAATTCAGATTTATGAGAATCACAAACCTGCTTGGGGATCAGAATTTGGCGGCTGGCAGACAGGGGAATCTCTCCTTCACCCTAATTTCCGGACGGTCATGGAAGCACCCCAGCCCCACCGTACCTGCAGCTGCCGGAGCAGCTTGGGGATCTGCCTGCAGCTGAGTTTCTGGCAGGCCTGCCGATAGGCGCCGATCACCTCCTCCACCGTCACGTTCTGGGCTGCAGGTAAAGGCCAGGCCGGTCACTCCTCACTCTTCCCCAAACCCACGCCTTACCCAGCAATACACAGACCAACCCAATTCTCCCTCCAAGCTCCCTGGGGCACCGCTGCCCTCCAGGAAGTGCCCCCAAACCACATCAGCACCACCCCCACAATCACACAGCTAACAAACAACACATACGGCTTCAGTTATCAGCTTACTCTCTACCACACGGGCAGCCCCAGAAGGGCTGGGGCCCCCAAACCTTTTTTTTTTTTCTTTAGACAGGGTCTTCCAACACAGTCGACTACCCTCAACCTTGCAATCTTCCTGCCTTAGCCTTCCAAGTGCTAAGATTACAGGTGTGTGCTGGGACGTGCACATTCCATGTCCACAGGAGCAGGCTTACACCAGGTATTTGGCACTTTGGCCCCATGAACAAACAGCTCAGAGAGAAGCAACACTTGCCCAAGGCCACACAGCTGTTCAGTGCGGCCAGAATTTGAACCCTGCTTCCGGTGTACAATGCCATGTGTCTCTGACTCCCCACTCCCAAAACAACCTCTGCAGCTGAGTGTTCCCATAGCACTCAGGGACAGGCCTGACCTGGGGTTCCGAAGCAGAAGGAGATGGCTGGCCTGGCCTGGGAGCACCCAGGGTGATAGACAATGCCTGGCAGAATATGCAAAAGGAAAGAACCCAACCCTAACAGTCCTACGGAAGCGACAGCCTATCACTGGATGACAGGTAGGGGTGGCTCCCACGACATCCCATGGCCGGCTTCTCTGGTTGGGCGTGGTAACTCTGCATCCTGGTCTCTTCACACTGCTAGTCAGCAATTGCACAAGGTACCACGTTCTGTTTACCCACTCACTGGCTGATAGACATCTGTACTGCTTTCAGTTTCTGGATGCATCTTTTCTTCAAACTGGGATTCGAACTCTGGATCCACCCTATATTGTGCTGTTGAGCTATATTCCCATCCCTTGGTTTCTGGCTACTGGAGTTTAGACTCTTCCTGGGGTGCCAGAGTGGATGGCATGGAGGTGATGGTGCATGCAGGGAACAGCCAGAGAGAGCACTTTGGCACTCTTTCCTGCTGCCCTCCTGTCATCTCTTCTATCTACCAGAGACCAGGCGAGCACTCCTACTCCACTTTCGGGGAGGAAAGCAGGCTCAAGGAAGGAGCAGTGGACCCCCACGGCCAGCCAGAGGACAGAGGGCAACATCTAGCCTAGAGTTCTCCTTACTGTCCCGCTGGCAGGGTGCGGGGCTCAGCTGCTGTGCGGGGTTAAAGGTGCCATTGTGGAGCTGGGGAGGTCAGCAGGGCCCTGACTTCCACGGAGGCTAAGGAGAGGGCAGGGCTACAGGAGCCTCAAGAGCAGTCACAGGGGACTGGCAGCACCCCGAGGGGCCAGATGCTGCAGGATGAGGGGGACACTCTTGACAATGACCCACCTGCTTGGTCACCCAGGGTTTTGCAGGGGACAGAAGCTGGCCAGGGCAGTAGCCATTGGGAGACGGGGGTCCAGCTACACCCATGCATGCCATGGTATTAACCAACTGGGTCTATGAACTTGAGGGGCTAAGCCTCTTGACCACGCTGAGCACAGCAGGTGCCAGCACTGTCACAACAGCCAACCACTTGATGTGTCTCCTCAGAGGAGCAGACACTACCAGTTTAAAGGTGTTTACCTCTCTCTATGTTAACTGGCATCCTCTGTAACCCTATTTTCTCTTTCAGCTTCGAAGATCACTGCAGGATTTACTGATGTAGAGGGCTGAAAACCAAGGCCCTGGTCAGACACAGGGAAGGGCCTCGTGGGGCCAGGGCTGGCTCAGTCTCACTGGATGGGCTGACGCAGCCTGCAGTTACCATCGCTGACCTCTCTTAGCTCCCGAACCGCCTGCAGGGACCAGCCTCATGGCAGTCCTGGAACTCAGAACCTCTGGCCTGCCCCTCCTTCAGGCGCTCAGTGCCAACAGCCCCCCCACTCCAGAAAGCCCTCCCTAACTGCCTGAGCTGGGCTCAGACTCCCCATCTGGCTCCTGTAGTCCTCAGAGATCCGGCGTCCCATTCGCATCCACTGGGACATCATGATCTAGGGATGGGTGCTGCTCTGAGACTATCCTGGTCACCATCATGTCCCTGGCACTGCTCAGCACAGGGCTGGACTGACAGTAGGTACCAGAATGACTGCAGGCAGGGGTGTAGCTCAGCGGTACAGCAGCTCGCAGCACATACCAGGTTCAGTCCCCAGCACCATGAACAAACAAAACAGCATTAGTCCCATGAGTGACTGGGAGGTAGGGGGGGGAGGGAGGACCTAGAATGCAGAGACCAGGCACTGTCCTGGCCCAGCCGCCCACTGTTATCTTCCCTTCACTGGGCCTCCCTTTCTCTACCCAAACGCAAACAATGATCTCTGCGGTTCCCGAGAACCCAATCCTCTAGGTAGACGGAGCCAGACAGGCAAAGGGCGGTCACACAGGTGAAGGAGTGTGTCACTTCTGAGTGCTGCCACATTCACTCTGCCAACCCAAGATCCAGTGATTCCAGTACTCTGGCAGGTTTCTCCCCAGGCCACCTCTGCACCACCCAGGCCACCATTTGCCCGCCCCCGCTTCTGCTGGGCACTTGCAGGGTTCAAAACCAGCCTGACAGAGTCATGGCCACAGCCTGAGCCCAAGGACGTCCCATCACCCACGTGGTTACAAGAGGGAAACTGAGCCATCAGGCTGTTAATTTCCTCTGAGGCTGAGACACAGTACAATAACAAGAGCAGGGGCTCAGAGCTGGTCCACTGCCTGGGGCCTGCACATGGTGCCTTCAGCATGTCCCGTGCCTGGGCTCTGAGGGGACACCTATGTTAACTATCAATTTTTTTTTTTTTTTTTTTTTGAGAGATACAGTCTTGCTATGTAGTTCAAGCTAACCTTTAACTCACTATGTAACCCAGGCTGGCTTCAAACCTGAGGTGATCCTCCTGTCTCAGCCTCCCAAGTGCTGGGATTACGGGCATGCACTACTATGCCCAGCTCATAATCAGTATTTATAGATTCAATTTCACAAATGCTATGGCTAAGGGATAAAAGTGAGTTATTGCACTGAAAATAACCAATGAGGGGAGTGGCAGGAAGACAGTGCCCAGGTGGGCAAGGAAACAGACAGCTGTACTCACGCCCCCAGGTGCTTCCTGGGTGAACACACCTGGCCCCCAGCACCCAGCAGGTGAAGAGGTGGCTGCGTTGGGGGGGTCCAGTCACAGAGATCCACTCTCAGGTAGAAACTCGGGTCCATGTAGGGTGCATGCATGTGCGTGTAGGCGTGTGTGCATTTGTGAGGCCCTGCACGGCATTTCTGCACCCAGCACCTCTGCAGGGAGAGGAGGGCACAGGCCCATCATGACACAAGAAGCTGGGGGCAGGCTCTGGGCCATCAGACAATGCCCTGTCACTGGCCAATGATTTCTATGATCTGTGCACGAGTCCGCACAACATGCAGTGTCCTGCTTGAGAGCGCAGGAAGCCAGGCACTCTGACACATGCTTTTAATCCCAGTGCCCTAGGAGGCTGAGGCAGAGGGCATTAAGTATGAGCCCAGCCTGGACAACTAGGCAACTTAGCAAGCCCTTGTTTTGAAATAAAAAATAAAAAAGGGCTGGGGATGTGGCTCAGCGCTAAAGCTCTAGATTCAATCACCACAGCAAGGGTGGAGGGAGGAGGTATTATTGACCCGTTAGTCATGGTTTCCAGGCAGTCACTGTAGTCTCTGAAAAGAAAAGGTCCCAGAACTGGGGGGCATGGCAGGACCCTCATTTCCCAGACAGAACTCAACAGCAGGGGCAGGTCTGTGTCCCTGTAAGCGCCTGTGGAATGAGTCCCACCCTACAGAGGCAGCCAGGGAAAGTGGTGGCAGGAGCAGGAGCAGGCCAGCCCCTAGGGGTGGGGCTGGGAGCAGCACGGAGGACAAAGGCTCTTCGGGTTTGGGGACTCCAGCGCCAGGTACCAAAGGCAGGGTGTGCAGTGGTGTAAGACACAGCTTTGGTCCCAAGTGACTGGGACTGGAATCATCACTGCCCCCTAGCACACCCTGGGGCCCTGGCAGGGCTTCATCGTGCAGCACTGTACTTGCTCCATCCTGCATGGGCCTTGAAGTGGGGACTTGGGAAGGAGTTTGGGGCTACCTGGCTACCAACTCACACTGGGCTTCTGGCCAAAGCACTAACCCTGTGCCCTGACACTTGGCCCTAACGTGAGGGTGTGTCGCTAGCTTTAGCACGCCCCTGGAGAGTCCCACCCCATCTCCTCCTTTTCCCCCAAAGCAGCTCTGGTGCCCCACGGAGTTCAAGACAGGTAAACAGTAGTTTGTGCTGTGCAAACAACCACATGGGCGGTGGGGGAACAAGCTGGCATGCAAGGTGTGCACACACATGTGCAAGGGGCCTCTGGGCACACATGCCTATGAATCAGGGCAGGCCTCAGATGTGTGTGCTTAAGTCCAATCCTGACTTATGCAAGGGCTAAAAATCAAATGACTGCCTAAGGCGGGGGAGAGACTGTGTGTGTGTGTGTGTGTGTGTGTGTGTGTGTGTGTGTGTGCTTACACACACAGCTGGGAAGCAGATCTATAGCCAGGTGTGCCTGTAATCCCAGCACTCAAGAGACTGAGACAGGAAGATTGTGAGTTCAAGACCAGCCTGAATCATTTATAAGACTGGCTTGGACTATGTAATAAGTCCCTGTCTAAAAATTTTAAAAAATTAAAAAAAAAAAAAAACCCTCAAACCTTCCTTAGAGATGGAGTTGCAGGGTAATAGCCTGGCGTAAGGGCCACACTGCAATCACCAATTATCCCTTTCCCTGTGAAAGGGCTAGCTGCCGGGTATTAGGTTATAAGGGACAACATCAGTGCTGGTGCCCAGTCAGCAGATGAAGGAGATGATGGGGTAGGGGTTCCCTTCCAGGTCTCAGGAACTTACTCTGACTAAGGTATGACATTCAGTACCTTCCACACCC